GGAAAAGTTAATATTTTAAGGCAAATTTACTTTTCACTTGAAAAGCAAGCAGAATTCCAATGATTTTAGTCTTTTGTCTTCCGTGGAAGGCCCACTGGGAAGTATTCGGTTTTTCATTGTTATCATCACTGAGACGATTGTCCGACCCACACGTCCCCTTTGTTCATTCTGCAGCTCTTAACCATCTGTCATGTTTTCTGGAGAGCCTTGTGAAAACATTTAGGTTAAACCAAATGGTCGTAAAAGCTGTCATTGTATTATAATCAAGGCCTGGTTGAGGTTTTTCCTTGTATTTTTTTGTTTGTTTGTTTTAAGAAATGCACTTGATCATTTTTACCTTTTTAAAAGCTTCGTCTTAATCCTGGACCCAAACTTCAGTCTGATAATAAATCAGCTCTGAGTCTACCTGAGTCATAGATGTTTCAAAATGGCTCTATTTTCTCATCCGTTTTGCTCAAATGCTATGTTAAACTTGGGGCCATTTGTTACTTTGGCCTCCTCCGTTTTTACTTCCTTGCCTCCGATGCTTTCTCCTTCAGTCGTCCTCAACCACCCACTCCTTGGCTTTGTCAGCATCAGAAGTGTCCCTCCTCTGAGGGTGCGATCTCGGGCACCCCAGGTTTAGCTTAGCGACTCTGATGCGACAACTCAGCCGCTTGCCATCTTGCCAAGACCTTCAGTTCAGGGACCACACCACTTTCCCACTCCCCGTCACCTCCCTCACGCCTTCGGTTCCTTCCTTACCCAGTTTAGAATCCATAATCTCTACAATCATGTCTGTTGAAGTCACCATAGTCCCACAGCTCTCCTTGGACTCACCTGGCAAAGCTCTATCCCTGTTTAAATCCCGCTACTTACTCTACGCCTGTACCCAAACGTCTGACGAAAAACCCACCAGGATGACTGGCATCATTTAAACTAATGGTTATAAATCTCAGATAGACTAAGTCTTATTTGGCAACCCTCCCATGCTGCTCTAAATGCTCCTTCCAAAATTACTGTCCCACCGCTTCTCACACCCTCTTCCTGCTCTCTCGAAGACACTCCCTCAGCATCAAAATGATAAAGGATCTCCTGTCTTAAAAAACAAACCCCTCTCCGTTCTCCATAGCCTCCTTCAGCTGCTGCCTTTTTTCCTCTCTTCATCCCATCCTCTGGATTGCTGTGCTCACCAACTCCGATGCATCTGCTCTTGGGAATGTCACTGATAAATTTGGTGTAGCTAAATCCAGTGCCACTCTGTCATATCTTATTTGACCTCCTAGAACTGATAGAGACAGTAGATGCGACTGAAACTCCTTTTTCCATGACGTTCTTTCCCAGTTTTCAGAGATACCATGTTCTCTTATGTTCCCTCCTTCCTCACCAGCCACTCCTCCCTGATGGTCTCTGCTAGGTCCTCTCCTCTTCCTGACCTCTAAATGTTGGTGCGTCCATGATTCAGCACTCCCGTCTCTCTCTTTATTCCCAAGGCAATCTCCCATGGTCATCTATAATTACAGCCCCAGCCTCTCTGCCAAACTCGACTGTTCACTTGACATCAAACCATCAGCAAGTTCAGCCAACTCTAATTTCAAGAATACCCCAAGATTGCCACATTCTCTTGTTGCCATTCCCTTGTTGCCACACCAATCCAAGCCACCGTGCTTACTTATCTAAACCATTGCTGTGGCCACTGAACTGGTAAGAGTGGTCTTCTCAAAATGAAATAGGACCACAGCCATTTTTCTGCTTAAAACTTCTCCAGGTGATTTTTATCACATTCAGAGTAAAACAGAAACTACTTCTTCTGGCTTGTAAAATCTACTAAGATCTGGTCTCAGATTGCTCTTAATCTCATCTTCTACCACCCTCCCCCACCCTACAAGTCTCCAGCCATACGGCCCCATTTCTGTTCCTAGAACATGCCAAGCTCATTTCTGCCTTTGGGTGTTGGCACTGACTGTTCCCTTTCCTCTGATCTTTATATGGTTGGCAACTTCTTGTCATTAAGATCTGAGCTTAGATTTTGTAATTCTTAGGAAACCCGACTGTAAGAATGATGGGTTATTCAAGTTCTCAAACCTGCCATGCACTTTCAACTGAATATAAACAGGGGCAAGGTTTTTGTACTGTAAGTACTGCTTCAACATTTTTACTTTTGAAAATTACAAAATTCTTCTAGATTTAACTTCATTAATCTGTCACTTCTCTATGTGGTGGCAGCCAGAAAGACCAAAAAAAAAAAAAAAAAAAAGAAGTATCCTAGAAATTGTGTCTACTAGTGCCCAGAGAACTACGTGAAGCAGCAGTTCTTTGTTGCCAGAACTTGCTGGGTGACTGTGGCCCAGGTGCCTCATCTTTGTGAAGGGGGTTCCCCCGCCTGTGAAGAAGAGACAAGGATTCTCTGGTTAAGACAAGGAATGTACATTTGCATATGTACATTCGTGTATTTAATAACAAAAGAATTAAATCTTTGTCTCAAATCTATACAGTACTTCATCCTTTTCCACTCACCTGTGTGTGATCTTTTCTGGAAAAAACACACAATTGGGGACCATTCTTGGTCTTTGCTTCTGAAATTCTCTTTTCTTAAGCTTAGAGCCTGTTTATGCAACTCCTGTGAAAATAGATGTAAAAATACGGCTGGCTTCACAAATAATTAATGGACAAAAAATGACTGAGAAACAGGAGATGAGGAGGCGGATGAGCAGGAGGTGGGGGAGCTCGGGCATTGGGGGTGGGGTAGCTGCACGCAGGCCTTGGTGGAAGATCGGGCTCCCCCAGCCTTGTACTGTTAGTACAGTAAATGCTAGCAGCAAACCCTCCCACCCACCAGTCCCTGGGTTGCAAATGCTCCCATTTTCCAATGACTCCCTGGAGTGCTCCAAAATTAATGAATGGCAGAGGCCATTATCTCTGCTGTTTCTATTTTACAGCAAATGTATCTTTAGCATGAAATTTGCTACAGACAATTCATATAGTGCTTTTACCCACAATATTTTTATGTTATGTTAATAGCCTTTAGCTTAATGTCTTTGTGCCTTGCAAGCTAATTCTGGAACACATGAAGTGTGTTAAACGAGGGATGGATGTGTGGGCATCTAAACCTACTGAGTGGAATTAGAGAGAAGGATCCTTTAAAAAAGCAATTCGGAGACAACACGCCCACATCAATGTTCAACAACAGAACCGCTGCCGTGGAGGTCATGAGCCCCTCTCTGCTCGCTTGAGAGAGCACAAGTGAAGTCAGGGGATCCCTACGTTTTTCTTGAATTTAGTAAACAAAACGGTAAAGTGAACAATTTCCTTAGCAAGGAAAGAAGCAAGCAAAAAGTTATTCTAGGAGGACGCTAGACTCTGGAGGGACACTGTGACAGATCTGGTGTCATAACCTGCTTCCCAGATAGTTCCCAGTGATTCCTGCCTCCTGGTCGTCACACCCTTTGGTAATAACCCTTCCCTTGAATGTGGAACAAATCCAGGGACTTGCTTCTTATGAATAAAATACGGGGGAAATGATGGAATGGCACTTCAGTATTCAGTTTAAAGCTGGCACGTCTGTCTTGCACTTTCTCTTTCTGGCTATTCTCAGCTTGCTAGTTCTTGTGACGTAAGCTGCCATGTTTGGAGCATGGAAGTGAAGGCAGCTAACGGCCGTCAAGGAACTAGAGCCTCAGTCCAGCAACTCACCGAGAATGCGCCAACAACCATATGAGTGAGCTTAGAAATGGATCTTTCCTTGGCTCACACCATGGTTACAGCCCCCGAGGGCCCCTGTGGCAGAAGACCCACCTCAGTCATGCCTGGACTCCTGACTCTCAGAGACTATGAGATTTAACAAATATTTGCTGTTTGAAGCCACTAGGTGGCTGTTACATGACATTGTAACAGACATGTAACAGACATGTAACAGACATGACATCTGTTACATGAGGTTGGATAACCAATGCAGCCGCTCAGCTCTAGACTACGGAGAGTACCCACCTGAGGTGTGATTCCAGCTTTACAGTCTTCTGGAATGACGAGCACCCACAGCTGCATATTTGAGTAAGGAGTGAGACATTGCAAAGTGCGAAACCTCTCTGAACACCTCTAGCAGGAAAAAACGCCAACAACCGCAAAACATTACTGCCAGGACGGCATAAAAGAAAGAACATATTGGCACAGGCTGTGCATTGAGAGCGTCAATTATACACAGTCGAGCAAATTATCTAATTTCTCTGGGATTCCGTCTCTTCGTGGAGAAGATGGCGCCCAACTCAGGCTAAGTTCTTGCTAGACTTAGCAAGAACTGCAAGCTTTCTAAGACACTGCTTTGAGGAACTCAAGAGGGCCCCACCGCGAAAGCTCTTTCTCATCCGCTGGAAAGAGTGTTACTAGGAATTTGTTCCTTAACGCTTCTAGGGGCTGTCCCTGAAATGATTACTTTAGCAAAGAAATTTTGACTGGTGAGGACAGAGGAAATTCTCCAGTGACTTCTAAGAATAGTGCGGAGAGTTGCGACCCTGTGTTGTGGTTTTAGTGGTGGCCACAAAAGGAAGTGTGGATGATTCCACCATTTTGATGACCTGGTAGGCTTTCTCCTTTCTGATGTATGTGATCTACACCATCAGCCCCATCTCCCCTCTCACCTTGATCACAAGGGAGCTGGAGAAAACTCCCATTCAGTCATAGCCACTGTATTAAATGGTACGGTTCCCGTATTTGTATTCTTTTTCCCTGTCCTCATTTTTCTACTTCTAGTTTATCACACGCCCTTTGTTGCAGGCCAGCTCAAATCATTGCCAGAAAACGGGTGTTAATATATAGAACATACACAAATATACATGTCTGACTCCCCCTGCCCCCACCAATTGCAATGTTACAAACAGAAATGCAAATCTGGGAATATTCTTCTATCTTGATTAGTAATTTTCAAAATGTAAGGTCATTTTGGCTTCGGTGGAAGCAAAGATGTAAATTAGCAGAGCAACCAGTAAAATAGGATAAATCAGAAAAAGTAAAGACAAACACAAATGGCAACAATATTTGTACCGTTTTTATTTGTAAAAATAACCATCTGAATGCATTTCCATAGTATATTACAGTTAAGTACTTCATTACATTATTAGCATTCAGTAGTTGAAAAAGTATTAAACTGTGCTTGAAAAGATTCAGATTGGTTCAAAGTCATTCACTGAACTAAGTCATTTCCCTCATTTTTACAGTCATGACATTTACCAGAGTCATTCAACTCCAATTTACATAAGCAAACATTACAGACAAAATCCCACTGAAAGCATCAAACAGTATTTTACGCTGTTACAAATATGTTATGCAAAATATAACACTGGCACCAGATTTGTATCATCGTGCTTTGCAAAGATATATTGCACATGCTAAAGCATAAAATATGTAGACAAAACTACCAAACAAAAGGTATTTGCATTGAATTTTTAGATCACTGCATAAGAAACGCATAGAATTACATTTTTACACACACTCAGATTGTCACTATCTTAAAACGCTTTTCCCCTCTAACATTGACCTATGGTTTACAGTTTTGTAAGAAGAAAGCATTTTAGCACTGCAAAATTAAACATAATTCCTATAGAAAACTTCGGCATTTTCATTTTCATTTCTAAGCAAGTAAGGGGAAAGAGGAAAAAGACACTTTATACATTCAAAGAAAGGCTGAAATGAAAACTCACTGGTATTATATTGCTCTGATAACACTCAAAGGAAAAAATACAAAACATTTCACAGAACATCTTCAGAATATACAAATATAAAAAGGCACTCTAACTTCATATTACAAGACAAAAAAAAGGGATGAGTTCTTCAACCAACGCAACAGATAAGCAAACCAGGTTGCTCAACAGGACGAATAGTGCAGCAGATCCGTTTGATGTTCTTGTTCTAATTTCATAATAAAATTAAAAAAAATCAAGCAGCTGTTGACTGCCTAAAGTACCAAAACATACTACAGTGCCCTTTTAGTAGTGATAAATAGAAATCCCCTGAGTTTTTTACTGTAGAATCATAGCAGATTTTAGGCAATTTGGAGATAATAATGGATTTACCAAGGACAGGCAGACACGGCGAATAGGTAAGTGCGATGAAAACGTGATCCCTGTGAATATGGTTGAAATACAGACTAAAAATAACACAGTCAGGTAAAAAGCACTAAACAACCAAGACTTGGTTAAAAGCACAAAGCTGTGTGTGTGTGTGTGTGTGTGTGTGTGTGTGTGTGTGTGTGTGTTTTGCTTAGAAAGCTACATTGCAAATCTAGTTCTATTTCTAAGAGATGTACTTAAAACACACAGAACTCATAGTTTTTGAAGTCACTTCCTAAAGAAAAAAAATGTGGTCTCGCGGAATGGAGAAACAGTGAGAGAGTGGGAGAGAGATTTGATTCCATGGGCAATTCACGGCAAGCGTGAGTTCATTTTGTTCCTTTGTCCTCCTTCTTTCTATGCGTGAGAGAGTGGGGAAAAGTCAAAATGCAGCTATGTGGAGAGAAATGTACCCGGGCCGGTACTGTTTTGCTGCCACCTTTCTTGTTCTCTGTGCTACCCTACAGGGAAAACGTGAATGCTGCTTCACCATTACAAGCGGGCATTTCCTTTCCTGCTTTAAACGTCAATGCACCAAGATTTCCATTCACTTCTAGAAAAAGACACCACAGTATATCGTGCTTTTTTAGCACTGGAGCTCCCTTACTTTTCAGTGTTTTGGTAAAGATAAGGTCGTTATTGCTCACTAGCAATTTATCTACTTTTCAAAAACACGTCTTCTCTAAACAAACAAAAAGGACAGAGGAAGGAGGGGGACCACAACACCAAAACATGAAAAAACAATGTTGGTGGTGTCGAAAACTTCCTGGGAAATTATTACCAATTCTGTAAGTCCTCTGAACAAGTTCTCATTTATGAAGAACCCAAAGTGAGTTTTGCATTAAGTCAGGATATTAAAAGAGTAAGAGTAAAGTCTTTTATGATTAGATGAAAAATAGAATACGGTGTGTGTATTTGATCCAGATATGCTAGAACACTGTTTTAAAAATATCTCACATACATTAGAAAATAGAAATTTCCAGGGTTGAAAATGGAACTGACTATAAAATGTCAGAGTCCTGACAACATGTTTCTCTCCCGTTTCTTCCTCAAGTGGAAAATAGCACGTGAGCTGGTGATTTGTATTTCCTCTCCTGGTTACACGTGCTCACACACTGACATCATTTCCCATTAGGTTACTGGGACCACGTGAGATTTTCAGTGTGTTCAGAGTAATTTCCATAAATTTCTTTGGGCCACCTTTGTGCATATGACCCACCACACACCTCAGTTCTCGTCTTGCAGAAGAGCATAAGGATGGCAGTGTCTCCCAAACTCTCCAGGCTGGCTACAGACTGGGGCTGAGCAATGGAGGCTTTACCCCTCTCCAACCGATGTGGAGAGCCCGAGGAAACCTCAGCAGCGGAAATGCTGGGCTTGGCCCCAGGCCGGCCGGCTAGCCCAGCGAGGGTCCTGCGTGATTTCCTGCTTTTGTGTTATTCCAAGTAAGACACGCAGCGATTAAAGCAGAGAACAACCAGTGGATGTTTCCTCGGCCTTTGTTTCATTTCAAATAAATATAAACACATTTACATCAAAAGTATACGAACATTTTTCTCTAGTTTGGCAAAAAAATAAGCCTTGGTCAACAGGTCATCAGTTACAAATGTTAAGCCACCAACCAGAAATCTGTGTCATAAGAAATATAAAACACAACAAAGACTGTTACACAAAAAGATTACATTTTAACTCCATAGAAAAGCTACTTCAGTTCTCACTTGCATTTTGAAGGAAAGCAATTTAAATTCTTCTGTTTTAGACTGAAGCAATTTGGTCCTCACGTACAGCTGGTTGATGAACTACAGACATATATATATATATATATATATATATATATACACACACACATATACATATACATATGTGTGCGTGTGTATGTGCATAACGTTTAAAGAGTCTCATTCTTCTTTTTGTACAGCTATTCCAGGTGCAGAACGGGGTCCATTTGACCTAGAAGCTTTGGCAGAGGGAGCAGACACAGTATTCACTATGTTGATTCGATCATCAAGCAATTATCAAGTGGCTTTAATTTCCACATCACTCATTTCTACCTTCTGTTTTGTACCTTGTTTCCCTTTGTCCTCACCCTTCCACTCACTTGGTATGACCTTGACTGAGAAGCTCATTTAATACTTTACTACTGATAAGCAATGCTGATGGTTCTGACCTTTTTAAAAAGCTAGCATTCTGATTTAAGGATGAACTAACAAAAAAATAAATAAAAGGTAGCCACATATTAAATCTGCGTATGTCTCAAAGTTCTGGTGCAATACAATTTTTCACCTGAAATGTTATTAGACAGATTTGGGTTCAATCAGGCAGTGGAAAATTAGTCCCAGGCTCGTTACAGGGAGTACTGGGGGCTGTATTTGTGTTAAAAGAAAAAAGCAACTTAAATTTTTGTTGAATTTTTCCATTCATCTGGCAACTTTAATAAAAATCCTTGGAAAGAAGTTCTGGATATTTAAGTGCTTGCTATAGAGAGGATATGCATAATTGGACTCCCTTAAAAAGATTATTACAGGCATCATTTCTGAAGATGAACACCTCTAGCTTTGGCTTCTAGTGAGGAAGTAAACATCAAAGTGAGAAGAGGTTTGAGGCAATTCCTACCCTCTCTTTCCCTCCCCTCATGGGACACGAATGTCACATTGATATACTTCTGAGAACTTACTGCTGAGTGAGTAAATGAAAAAAAAAATTCTTTCTAGAGAACCATTCCCCCTCAATTGCATTATGCCAAAAGAAAAAGAATCAAATGCATTTTTTACTTAAAATTTCTTACTTAAAATGAGAGGTAGACTTGCACAGAAGTAGCTTAGATCTAAGGAAAACATGAAAACACAAATAAAAATCAGGGCCCATTTCTGTGAATGCCTTGCCCTACAGCCTAGCTGCCCTCCCTGGATTTGATTAATTCCTTTTCTACTGGCTTCTGGAAGCCCAGGCCCATAATAATACTCGAACACAACATAAGCCTGGAATTCATGTTTCTTTCCCTTCTTCCAATACGGGTGATCAAGGAAAAGCTTCTATAGTCCAAAGTCAAAACGTTTCGGAATCAGAGTCATTTTCATTGTACCCATCCTCTGAGCCTACGTTGTTACTGCACAGGCTAACCATGCTACCCAGATTGGAGAGGGTCGTCCTGCTCAAATTGTCTTTTTTAAAACAAACGAAGTTGACAGCCGTCATTGTACTGGAAGGAGAAAAAGGCATCATGGTAGCCAAAATGAGGGCCAGGCAGTCAGCCACGTCTTTGTTAGGAGCGCAAGCCAGGGCCGGGGTATGACCTGGGCGTAAATGCAGACAAGGCAGTGGTTAGTCCAGGAAATCCAAAGGCGGCGTGAGCATTCCACAGTACATCTCATACGACCTCACACGCGGAGATGTATGTTGAGTTAGAAATCATGCCAGGCAAAAAGAGGAGTTACTTCCCACAAGTCATGCTAGGGGTCAGGCTAGAGGGAACTGGGAGGGTGAGACATTTTATGAGGGGGACTTGGTTTTTCCGTTTACATGACAACAAGCACTATGTTATCCGAAGTTAGGCAGAACTCTAGTCTTCATCTAATGAACAGAAACACAAGGGGGCAGGGGTGGGACCCAATTACACACACACACAAACGACACCCCCCCCAAAACAAAAATAAAAACAAAAACAAAACCAAAAAAGACAGCACCAGGACAACTACAAAGGTGTTTCCACTTGAGAGCACACGCACACCATGGCACACCATGCGCCTCAGGCTTGGGCCGGAGTGCTCTCATTCTGAGAACAATGACTTTCATAGTAGGTAATTGTGTGTCGGATTAGAAAACATTGAAAATCCCAAGTCTGCAAATGCGACTAATGCAGTTTTCTTGCTTTACATGTGTTTACATAAAGTATGTACCCGTGAACTCGTTCTAGGAAAATGGAATCATTGGAGCAGATCAGACAGGAAAGCACTGGCTGTTTGTGATTTAAAACTTACTATCATTTAAGAGAAATTTAACAGAATTTTTAAAAATAGCAACACCAACCAACCAAAGTCGCCCAGCAATGACTGGTGTGGGAAAATGGCTGTGGAGTCCTGTCACTCTGCACCATTTAGACCTATGGGTCTCATCCGGAAGAGAAAACCAACTTAACATGTGCAGGGGGAGGTAGATACATTCTGTGACTTAATTACCGCCCTTATCCAACCTTTATTCTACTGACCTGAAAGGGTCAACTTATGCCCTCTGCCCACAGATTTCCTATTACCACTCCCTTATTTATTCAGAGCTAGTGGCTCAATAAAACTCCACATTTTGTCAACTTCTATCAACATTGGAGAGTTTCTGCCCCTCCCCCAGCCCCCAACAGATCGTTCCTCTCTGCAGCATGAAACCAAGTAAGAACAGACAGGAGTCTTAACATTCCATCCCACGGAAGTCACGGATGAGTAAAGGATTTATGAGGGTCGTGCTGGACAAAACTGCCTCAAACTGTTCCCAGGCCTCTGGGATGCAAGTGAGCTCCAGAAAGGCCTCAGTTCCACTGACCCAGGGCTCTCGTGCCTAAGGTTGCTGTTGGCAGGGGAAGCCTCAGATGCAGCAGGCTTACCACGGAGAAAGACACTACTGATTTCTTTTGAGCTCTCTGGGCCATTTCGAAGAAAAAACTGTGTACTTCTGCATGCCAACCCTAAGATATATAATAGTGGTAAGAGGGCGAGGGAAAGGGAGGAGGGACAACTGAGGAGATGAGGCAATAGGGAACTTTCTGCACCTCCTAGATGAGTCAGGTTGGGGACAGAGAGGGGTACATGCTAGGATAAAAGGGGCTGCAAAACAAAACTAGTAGGAATTAGCTAATGATGTCATATGGCTAATGCTTACTTCTGAGAAACAGGCATGGGCTGCTAGTTCCAATACCTGTAATAAGCAGTTAATTGAGTTGTGTTAATGATAATACTTTAATTAAATGCCACAATTGATGACACATTGAAAAAATTACGTCATTCATAAATATCCAGAAATTCGTCTTTCGCTCTGCATGGTTAATAGGTATTGTGCTTAAAATGGTAGTTTCACATAATTCTGTTATTCATTCACTTTTCAAGGAAGCAGAGTAGAGAGCTTCTGTTGAGAGTTAGTTCATTTAGAAAAGGAATGTTACATAGATCAGGAGAAGCTTTCAAGCCTAGAGAGTCATTCAAAAATTGTATTCATGTTCCCCAAATATCCTTACTGAGAATATGAGTTTTGATCTGTTCTTTAAAGAGAAAAAAAAAAGTTTGATCTCAGAATGAACTGAAATACAAAGACCTAGGTTTTTCTTGGAGCCCTTGAGCATGCACTAACGACATGTGTGGTCTCTAACTCTCCAGCGCACGCAGTTAGAATTCTGAATGCCCGTCTGCCAGGTTTTCAGTGTGTCCAAAAGGGCTGAGCCGCCACGCTGAGGGGTTAGAGAGGAGCTGCTGGTGTCACATGCAGAATGGAAGGCACTGGTGGGCTGCGCGTGGACCACATGTTTTACGAAGACAGACAGGACAGACTATCCCTGTTGGATGTCTCACACACAGAAACTGCCAAGGGGGAGAGAATTCTTACTGCCTTTTTAATGAGCACCTATCATCCTCACCTCCCCCAGCTTCACAGCACAGGGAAGGCACCTGTGGCAACTGCTTACCGTTCCCACTTACCGTTTTCATCCACAGCGAGTACACAGGCCCCTTTGGCCAACAGCTCCTCAACCACCACCTTCAAGCCGTTTCGCGCAGCAACGTGGAGGGGTCTGAAAGAAGACAGCAGCCAACGTCAACTGGGATATGAATTTGTGTGAGAATGTGTCATTGTGGGGAGCTGCATTGCAAAAAGGAAGAAAATGCTTAAGAAAATACTTAATAAATATAAATATATATAAGTATAAGATATATTTATATATAAATACAAAAATATAAAATAAATATAAAATATAAAAAATATATAAATATAAAACATATTTACATATAAATATAAAATAAATACTTAAGAAAATACGCCCATATTTTTACTTTTTTAAAATAAAAATATTTGTCAACCAGATCTTTTCCAGGTGTTAACATCCAACTCTTTTTCCATGTTGGCCCAGATTTCTCTGCAGATACGACAAATATTCCGGATCTCAAACGACCTCAATGACAGTAAACAGGAAGCCAGAAAAGGAACGTAAGCTCTAGCTTGCTTTCTAGAAGGTTCTTTACCCCTTCCTTTCTACCTCAGCATTTGAATCACTGTTTCACATGGTCCATCAAGATGACTGGTTTTAATATCACCCATATATATTTATCTTAATCCTCCCTTTTATTAATAAATGCACTAAATGATATTTTGTTGAATTTAGAATACCTTAAAGAATAATGTCAAACCCAGTATATTCATTTCTGCTATACAGTTCTTAAGAAACTTAATGGGAAAAAAAATCCCAATATTCCTTTGCCCTTAAATGCATAGGTAATTTCCTAAAATGGGAAATGAATCAGATTTAGGTCTTTCATGCTGAGGATTACACTGAATTATATTAAAATGTAACAAAGACAAACTGCTTAGAAACTCTTCAAATGTATTCTGGGAACATGATTTATAAAACTGTCATTTTCCAGTAAGAACACATAATGCTAATATATTATATTACAAAATTCCATGAAGGCATAACAAAATAAAGATTCTAACTAAAAATGTCTAGCTTGGTGTGCCTGGGTGACTCAGTGGGTTAAAGTCTCTGCCTTCAGCTCAGGTCATGATCCCAGGGTCCTGGGATCAAGCCCCGCATCGTGGCTTTCTGCTCAGCAGGGAGCCTGCTTCTTCCTCTCTCTCTGGCTGCCTCTCTGCCTACTTGTGATCTCTGTCAAATAAATAAATAAAATCTTAAAAAAAATGTCTAGCTTGGTCAGCATTTGTAGATATGTGACTATAAACTTCGTGAAGGAGAAGCCAGGTCTGTGTTTTTCACCACTGTATTCTCTGGTACACAGCATACTCTAAATATTTGTCAATTCAACGACTATGAATCTGGGTCCATATCAAACTTTAGAAGTCACACTTACGTCTGCAGTGCATTATTTTTTGCATTAATAAGGCTCTCGTCTTGTATCTTGTCAAGTATTAACAAGGCACATTTTTCATGACCCTAATGAAGAAAAAAAAAATGGTAAGAAACATGGGACAGAAACAGAGAAAAGCTCCTGAAAAATTACTTCATTGTGCTTTAAATTTAAAATGAACATCATTTGCCTAAAAACATTTTATAAGGCAACTTTCTGATTAATTCCTTTTTCTTCTAAAAAGCAAATGGTTAAAGGACCCTACACTCTCAAAGATTCTGGGTAAGGTCTTAGGACTTGAATAATGTAAACCTGATCTAAAATATTAATATTGTGGGGCGCCTGGGTGGCTCAGTTGGTTAAGCGGCTGCCTTCCACTCAGGGCATGATCCCAGAGTCCTGGGATCGAGGCCCACATAGGGCTTCCTGCTGGGCGGGAAGCCTGCTTCTCCCTCTCCCCCTCCCCCTGCTTGCGTTCCCTCTCTCACATTCTATCAGATAAATAAAATGAAATCTTTAAAAAAATATATATTAATATTTCAAAGATAACTGCAGCAGTAATGTTGAGAGAGCTGAGGCAGAAGCTAGCTCAGCAAAGCCAACTGGCAAACAGAGAGTAGAATTAGAAGCAGCCTTTTAAATCCATCGACACTACTTTTTAAACGTATGTCAAGTCCCATCTCCTTCCTCAAGCCTTCACTGACCACTTCAGGGACCCATCTACCCTTGAAATTTCTATGACGTCTGTTATCAGTATCACTTATCACTATGTACTGCCTCATGCTGGGAAGGGACTTTCAGGGAAGCTCCTTCTTTTCTTCCTCAATCAGGGCAAGATACCTGCTTGTATCTTAAAGGAGATGGTTGATAATTAAAAAAAAAAAAAAAATTAACTGGAAAGTCTAGAGACCCTTCCACGATTTCAGGTCTAGGCCCTCATTTCCTAAACCCTTGATCCTCAAAGTGTGGCCCACAGACCAGCAACCTGGGAGTCAGAAACGTTGAACCTCAGGCCCCACTCTAGACCTGCATTTTGACAAGAGCCTCTGGTGATTCATTTTGCATAATCAAGTTTGAAGAGCACTGAACGTCTCTTTCTGAAAACACTACACTTTGAAATAAACTTCATGAAATGGAGCCCTTTCTGGGGTTTCCACGGGCTTCCCAGAGCAAGAAGTGAGAAAGTACAACGGCTGAAAGGAACGGCCAAAGCATCCAGTACCACAGAGGACGCCTTTAACACCATTACCATGTTGAAGTCAACCACCACCACTGGTGTTAACTACAGTCACACACTATAATGCCTTATAAGGGAGCCCCAGAAACGCAATTTCAGAAATGTCCGTGGAGTTGTCATTCTCACGCGCTGCTGGTGGAGGGTAAATGGTTGTGATCTTATGAGAGTACATTTGGGCTGAAAAATCTTCACAGCTTTAGGCTCAATGGCTCAATGGCTCAATGGTTTTACATTTAGGAATCTATCTTAAAGGAACGAGTAAGAATTCTTTAAAAAAAAAATTCTCTACAATTAGCATCACCTATAGTAGCATAGGTTTGAAAACAAGCAAATGTCTAACCATTGAGGATGGTTGGAATAAAGGATGGCACATTCTTAAGGTAGAATACCATACATTTTCTAAAACGTGATACAATTTGATATCTAAAAGAAAGATATTCATGGGGTGTGTGGGGGACTCTTGTCGGTTAAGCATCGAACTCTTGATTTCAGCTCAGGTCATGATCTCATGGGCTTCAGCAGGGGGTCTGCTTCAAGATTCTCTCCCTTTGCCCTTCCCCCCACTCTCTCTGTCTCTCTAAAATAAATAAGTCTTTAAAAAAAAGATTCATAAGATACAATTCAGGAACAAAAAGGTTTTAAGGTTTTAAAACATGATCTCGCTTTTGTAAAATTGTGTATATTTATATACCATTTATCTTTTACAGAAGCAGGAATCTTGAGCTACATGTGAACACAATGCTGTTAAAAAAAAGAAAAACAAAAAACGCAAACACATTCCTTGCATTGAACTATGAACCAGGAAAAAAGGGCAAAGGGTAGAAATGCACACGAACGCACTTATTTGCCTCCAAGGAGAGTATTTTTGGGGCTGTGTTATAAATTACAATATCTTCAAAGGGAACAAAATGAAAACAAGTGGACCTGGTTGTATCTAAGAAGCCACATAACTAAGGTCCTAACCTGTGTTTAAACCCAAGTTGATGTGGTACTACACCCCCTAGAGACAGAGGGAGTGACAGCATCAGGAGACAGACTGCATAAGAATGGAGGTGGCCAATGCCCTGGAAAGCCTATCCTCGTCAACCCCTACGTGTGTCTGCCCTGTGGCTTCTTCCCCTCCTATTCTGCTGACAGCTGACAACACCCTGAGAAAATGCACTTCTTAATTAAGAGCCATGATACACACTTCTGAGATAGCATTTAAGTGGTTTAGCGGTATGAGTATGATTACAACAGGAAGTAACACTGTTTCAAATTCATTTACATACTTTGCTACTAGCCAAATGTAAGGGTGTGTTCAAGTCTTTATCCTTTACAGTCAGATCAGCCAGGGCACTGTTCACCAAAATATCTACAGAAAAAGCCAAAAGAGAGTTACTTAGGCGACATGCTAATTACAATAACACATTCAAATTAGTATGGACACATCATCATAGTTAATGTTTTTAAAGGAAAAATTTATCGCCCTACTGTTCTGTTGAAATCCAAGGTCTACAGACATCCATTGTAATCATCTTTGTAGCTTTGTTATTTCTAGGTAAAATAATTCTGGTGCTGTATTTGGTCTCTCAATGTTGAGATCTTTTATTGCTCAAAGACAAGGTCCACCAATCATCAAATAACAGGGGACTGAAGACAATTAGCAAGTAGAATCGAGTGGCTTAAATAAAACGTTGGCCTTTTTTACATGCATATACCAAGACACTAACTGATTTCTCCCTTTTACAAAGTTACTGCAGTTGGGTTGGGCATGAGCACGAAGCCCGCCAGCCGAGCACATACCCACAGCGCCCGCCTGCCCATTCTCGGCCGCCATCATCAGTGCTGTTTTCCCTGAATTGTCCGCTGCGTTCACTTCAGCATTGTGTCTCAGAAGAAGCTGCAAGCACTCCACGTGGTCAGCAAATGCCGCCGCATGCAAGGGTGTCCTAATGATGGAAAACAAATAGGATTCTAGCTTCCTTTAAACGTAACACTCTCTCTGTATATGCCTGAGAAACATGGGCACAGTGTCATCCCAGGGACTTAAAACTTCTCAGTTTACAGAAATAACAATTAGGCCTTCTCTAAAGTCCATTCTGGGTGGACACTGAACAGTCACCTATGTGAATGGCGCCCCCTAGATTTGGAGGGTGGCAGTGGTGGCCCTGATAATAAAATCAGCATCTTTACTGACCCTTTGATGTTGAGTTCCAATGACTTCTCATTTTTGATAAAGATACTTTCAGATTTGGAGTGCCTGGCTGGCTCAGTCAGTCGAGTACGTGACTCTTGAACTTGGGGTCGTGAGTTCGAGCCCCACACTGGGTGTAGAGATTACTTAAAAAGGATACTTTCAAAATTGAGCCTTAAATTTGCAGATAATTGGGTATTTAAATAATAAAAATGTCCCCATTATCTAATATGGAGAGTTGATTTTTCTAAGAGCACAAATTATATTATTTATCAAAATTAAAAATTAAATCTAAAACTTCATCTCCTAGACATTCTTGGTCATGTGAACAGACACATAAAATACTAGGTGTTTCATAGTAAAATATTAGAAACAGTAAAATATTAGAAACAACTAAATGTTCTCCAATAGAAGGCAGGCTGAGTAAACATCTGTCCATTCAATGAAGTAATATCCAGTTTTAAAAAGAATATGGTAAATCTACATATTCTGGTATGAAAATTCTCCAAGATACACTAAAAGCAGAGCACTGCAACAGAATTCTCCTATTTGCATATAAAGAACATGAGCATATATTTTCATATATGGTTGTAGCTATGTACAGAAAATATTGGAGAGAATATAAAAATTTTAAAAGAATAGTTTAAGGTAGTTTTCTAGATGGAAGAAAAGACTAAGAGTAATTTCTCCTAATTATATAGTCTTTATTATATTTAATTTTTAAAAGCTGTGCTTTTAGAAGTGCCTGGCTGGTTCACGAGGTAGAGCATGTGACTCTTGATCTCAGGGTTGTAAGTTTGAGCCCCATGTTGGGTATAGAGATTACGGAAACAAAATAATTTTAAAAAAAGATAAATAAAAACCATGCTTTTATGTTACTTTTTTCAATTAAAAAATAACAAGTGTTTGGCTACTTTGCAACCAGAAAGCAGAGACTAAGACTGATCACGACAGGAGACCTGCTGCCTTGGGATCACTTACCTGCCTTTGTCATCTCTGCAATTGACAATACCGGCATCTATGGCCCCAAGTAGCAATGATGCACAATTCTCATGATCGTTTATTCTAAAATGAAAATAGATTTTACATTAAAAAAATTCAACATTTAAAAAAAATTATATATCCCCTCCTACTCCATCATCCCGGGCACCGTATATTTAACAATCAGACACATTAAAAAATGTGTGGCGCAAATCTCTGTGCTTTCTGTTCTGTTCAAATAATTCAAGGAGACAATTTAGGTCCTACAGATAAGCTTCACTTAACACTTCCTGAGGCAGGCAGTCTCACTCTCGAGAGCCCATCTGAACCGTTTTAGTGACGAGGTGGGATTTGAAGTTGACTCCTCACAGCCTACAGGAGCGGACATCGAGACAAGGCACCTGCCAAACCCTCTGAGTCCACCGTTCTTCTTGCGGCCAAGGGCTAAGGGTGGGTCACTCTCGGATTTGAGGTCTGCCTCCTTGTGTCTAGGTCTCTAAGCCAAACAAATTTTATCCAAAACTTTTTAAGGGAAAGTTCCCAGAAAGAGTCTGTGATGCAGGAAAGGCTCTGGGACAGCAAGAGTGGGAATCCACAACAGTAGCAGACTACCAGGGACCTTTAGGTCAGCCCATAGCCTAAGCCACTGGGAGATTTGTGGAAATAAATGAAGACAAAACTGCAGACTGTTTTGACCCATAGCACATTAATGTCTATGTAGGGAAGAGCTGAACTCTTAAAAGCCATTAGGGTGTCCACTGTGGTAAAGAAAGCTTGTGAAGAGTAAACGATCTATAGTTAATGAGAACCTTAGAAGGCAAAGCCACAAAATGGATGGGCGTGGGTTGAGCACTTAAAAGCCGTTAGAGTGCTCGCCACATAAGTCTAAGACTCCCACCACAGGATAAGTCAATTATGGAACAGGTTATATTGACAGTGGGTCACTCGCCAACCTCAAGAAAACTTCCATGCAACAAAGTACACTGAATCCCAACACCACCCAGATCCCAAACCCGGTGGCACATCTCTTTCAGGTATTAATTTAGCTCCAAGAGACTCAAGGATTCGCTAAAAAAACGAGATCCTCGAGTTTCAGAGAACAGAGCATTCTGCCTCCCAGAACACTTGCTTATTTTATGTCCACAAACCGTGGCTGCCATAGATATCTACAAAAATGGCAAAATCTTACTTAGACAATCCAGAACTACAATGACCAGCATGGGGAATATTCCCGTTAGATAATATCTTGCATTTAAGAACTACACTTGAAAGCAAGGGTTCCCAAATCTACAAACAGAATGGGATACGTATTATAGCTGATATGCAGAAGCTTCCAAAAAGCTTCACTGAAAGATCCACTGCCAAGGCTAATGAAAAACTAAAGACGCAAGAGGTACCTAAAACAAAGAGTGTAAGACTGAAATGACTCCTGCTGCTGCCCTCTATCCTTCTTTACCTCAGTGCTCACAGTCTATGAATTCTCTATCTGAATTTCCACTGCGAAGGGGCGACAGGGTCAGAAACAAGTCTTTGCAAAGTTAGTGGCTTTATTGCTGCAACTGCTCCAAGGCCAGAAACCCCAAACCACACCTGGGCTTCCCTCATTGCGCCATCATCAGAACACTGACTCAGAAACTGGTGTCTTGTTTGCAACCCATCAGGACACTGGAAGAAAGACTGTCCTAGAAGGTTTTGTGCAAATCCTCTGATAGCGGCTCAAATGCCCCCACATATACCCTCAAAGGAGGGCCCTTGTAAGGACCCCTTCTGGTGTTGATGAGACGCCAAACAATTCTCCGATCAACTGCTACCAGTTATTCTAACAACTAAGGGGAAGTAAAATTAAAATTAATAGAAAAATCTTGCCAAATTCTGGTAGATGCCAGGACAATACTCTCTACTTTAAACGCCACTGACTCCAGAGCCTGCACATGAGACCTGGGAAAACCAGCAGGGTTAGGCAAATGGTGAGAATTCTCACCAGATTCTCTCTGGCGGCTGGTCAAGGAGGAAGGTATAATTTCATGTTGTCCCTTCTTTTCCAAATTCAGACTCTTGTTTATTTGGTTTTGAGAGAGCCATTGGTTACTGATCCTTTTCTCTCCCAGGGACTGCTATGGCCTTGTTTGTCCTAAATCCTTCTTTCTTTTGACTTTCTTGGGGAGGTATCTCCGGATCTTGGGAAAGTAGTATCTTTTGCACCATCTTTGAGGGGATCTTGCATTCATGGGTTGTTCAGTAATGCCAGGAAGAGTTATTGTTCATCCTGGCTAAAACCGGGCAAGACACTGAAAGGCTTTTTTTTTTTCTTCTTTTTTTAAAGTAGCTTTACAGTTGGTCAGAAGTTGGCCAAATAGGCAGCTGGTATTCAGAGTCTAATTGTGACTTTCTTTAGGCCTTCTCCGTAAGCTAAAATGAAGCTATGTATGGGGTGAGGGGTAGGGACTGGGGGGCATTCCAAAGACAAACAGCTCTAAATCTAGAACAAAGGAATCGTTTGATTTCTACCTCAGTTGAAGGAAGACCTTCTCCTTGATACAAAGAAGAAAATTAAAGAGAATGTAGTTGGATGAACAGGTCAGGCCCCCTTTCTTTGAGGAATTAAAATCAACTCTCTTTGCCTTACAAATTGAGTTTTTAAAGAACAGAAAACGCTTGCTTATCCTTTTTTCCAATCCTCAAAACTCTCTTACTCATCTCAAATGGCTTATAGGTCAGAAGATCCCTCTTGGAGGATTTTGCTTTCTTTCCCTGTGCCTTTGAGCTCTACCTGGTCTTCGCCAGGAACTCGTATCCAGGCCCTCTCTTTGAAATGCACACTTCAGGGAGATAACTGCTATCAGAAAAAAGAAGGAAAAAAATAAAGGGTATTTGGAAACTAGGGAAATAAAAAATCTTAAGTCTTGATGGGCACTGGGTGATGTATGGAATTGTTGATCGCTATATTGCACACATGAAATGAATATAACACTGTATGTTAACTAACTGGCATATGAATAAAAACTTAAGGGCACCTGGCTGGCTCAGTCAGTAGAGCATGCCACTCTTGATCTCAGGGTCTTGAGTTCAAGCCCCACACTAGGCACAGAATTTACTTTAAATAAAAACTTAAAAAAAAAAAAAACCAAAAAACCCAACACTATATATTAACTATACTGGAATTTAAAAAAAAATTTAAAATCTCAAGTTTTCTCAATATTAGTAGAAAGTTTAAGCCATCTGAGCAGATAACCTTAACCTATTCCATTTTCTAGAAACACAATTTGGATCTGTGTTTTTGTTCTGTTTTTTAAATAAACTAGTTAAGTTTTGCATTATCATACCTGCTTAAAGCCTAAAATTTAAAAACAAAAGTTATATAAGGCTGATGATTCACAGACCTATACCCCTGAAACAAACAATATATGTGAATAAAAAAAGGAAAAAAGAAAAAAGTTATTAAGATTTCTGTTCGTGTCCATCTATACGTGTATGTATGTCTATGTATGTACATTACGTTGTTTTCTATCTCCAGAGGTTTTGTCAAAATTAAGTCGGAAAGAGCTCTATTTAATTGGCTTAAAGAACATTAAGCACGTGGGGTGCCTGTCAGTTAAGCGGCTGACTCTTGGTTTCGGCTCAGGTCATGATCTCAGGGTTGTGAGACTGAGCCCCTGTGTGGGGCTCCACTGGGTATGGGGCTTACTTAAGATTCTCTCTCTCCCTCTCCCTGTGCCCCCCAATAAATAAAAATAAAATAAGATAATAATAAAAAGAGGACTTACATAAATCATATATATTTTCAGAAATATAGAAACTGAGTTTCTATGTTTGAGTTAAATGTTTTTCAGGTTCAAATGATCTGGGTTAATCTTTGGTAAACAAGGACTAGTTCTAGGTTAGTTGGTTTAATTAAAACAGGCATGTATTCGGAGTTATTAGAACTTATAATGCAGAAATAAAACTTTTATTCTACCTAGGTTTACTAAAGGTCAAATAAGCTCATGTTATCACTGTTACAGAATTTGTCAATCAGAAAGATAATTTAAAATGATGGTTAGCTGTTTAATATCTCAGAGTTTTCATGAGTGATCTAAACATAATCATTAAGAACAAGTAAATTAAATAGATATAAGTAAGGTAAAGATTTATAAGTAAACTTTTGACAACAATTATGCTTTATGGAATGTATACTTAAAAATAGTTTCCAAAATGTTTTTGGTAATGGGAAACCTCAGTTAAACTGAGCTACTTTAAATGATGCATATTCATTGACTCCTGGATCATTTCCAATTAATATAAAACTCTGAAACATTATCACCAAACATAGATTTATCCACTTTTGGCTTCCTTTGACAGAGGAACTATAGATATTTGGCTCCATTAGTAAACATGTTTTGTACCACATTGAAATATGTATCATGAAGAGGAATGTACTCACAGGAATTAGGAAGTTTATTTATGAGTTTGCCAATCCATAGAATGCTAATGGAACTGACAATCCACTAGTGCTTACCTCTTAGTTTTCACTAGTCATTAAGGATTCTAGGGGTTAAAAATTTTAATCAATTAAAACTATTTAGAAACAATAAGGGTGAAAGAAAATAATTTTAAGAAAAATAGATAATAAAAGTAGAATATATTTTTTTTTGGATAAGGAAAGGTATGAAAGACATGGTTGTTGTTTATTTATTTATTTATTTTGGTAAGAAAAGAGAGAAAGTAATTTTGTCTTAAAGTAAAATGACTATTTGTTGTTTTTTTCTGGAATGAGAGAGGGAAAACTTAGGACAAAATCTGAATGGATATAAAAGCTCTATGGAATGGATGTAAAACTCTGTGGAAAAGGAATCTTGGAAAAGGAATTCTCTGTGGTCAAGCTGGCTAAGATTGGAATGGATTTACTTAAGTTTAAAAAAATGAGTTTTAATATCAAAAGTACACTAGTGCAAAATTAGAATTTGGTTTTCTCTTTGTTAAAGGAACAAAGGGTTTTTTTTTCCCCCTTAGATTATTGATCTGCTCTTAATAAGAAAATGTAAGTAAAGTTTTTTTGTTGTTTTTTTAACCTCTTTTTAAAAAAAAAAATTTTTTTTTAATTAATTTATGTGACAGATTGAGATCACAAGTAGGCAGCCAGGAAGAGAGAGAGAGGAGGAAGCAGGCTCCCCGCTGAGCAGAGAGCCCCATGCGGGACTCAATCCCAGGACCCCGGGATCATGACCTGAGCCAAAGGCAGAGGCTTTAACCCACTGAGCCACCCAGGTGCCCCTTTTATTAACCTCTTAAGTAACCCTCCTGAAAAGCAGAGATTCTGTGTCTTACCAAAATAATTCACTGTGCTTTAGGCTATCTTGATCAATCTTTAATTTATTTTTATAAATTATTTTTATTTTTTATTTATAGTTTATATTTATTTTTATATTATAAATAAAAATATTTATATATTTATTTATATTTTATTTATAAATTTTTAATTTATCCTTAATTACTTAAGAAAACCCAGTCTTCTTGGGGTGCCTGGGTGGCTCAGTGGGTTAAAGTCTCTGCCTTCGGCTCAGGTCATGATCTCAGGGTCCTGGGATCGAGTCCCGCATCGGGCTCTCTGCTCAGCGGGGAGCCTGCTTCCCTCTCTCTCTCTCTCTCTGCCTGCCTCTCTGCCTACCTGTGATCTCTGTCTGTCAAATAAATAAATGAAATCTTAAAAAAAAAAAAAAAAAGAAAGAAATCCCAGTCTTCTTAACACTAGAAGAGGTATGGAGGTTTTTGGTTTGTTTTTGAGCCACTCCCTAACTTTCTCTATTTATCTTTAACGTCCGTAGCTGTATCACTTTGGTGGAATGGTTAACTAAGCACTGTTGCACAGTGACCTGTGATCCTATTTGACTAAGTATTTTAAAATCTTTTGATATTTTTGACAAGTAAATAAATGCATAAGTTGATCAACAGGACAACCGGCTTCAAGAAGTGTCCCCTCTCTGGGATTATTTTTAACTTCTGCAATTCTAGTTGGTTTGGTTCATGGGGACCCTGGGTCAGGCATGCCCTGCAAACATGAGGAATACTTTTACTATTAATAATTATCTTTCTGGTCTGTTCTCTCAAGGGTTCTGGATGAGTGGATGCAGCCATAAGCCAGGTAGCATACGGTCTCCCTCCAACTCGAATGAAAACCCGACATCGTCTCCCACGAACTAGACACTGAGACCCAAAGAGACAACGGTAGCTGAGCATAACTTGCAACATCACCTTTGCCCAAACCTCTTGGTTGACCAGAGGTTGATCAAAGTGGGGAGGAAGAACTGCCAACTGATCCCACATGAACCTACTCAGTAGGCCGGGCACCACTGATCCTGGGAAACAACATCAGCAAAAACCCCCTTACCTTTCAGGTTTCATGTTCTTGTAAATGTTCCATCTTCCCAGAGGTCAGACCATCTAGTTAACTCATGAATAATTACCAAGTGATATGGGTGATGGCCCCATTCCTCCAAGACCTCAAATAAGGCCAGAGATGTAACCCCAGTAATCAGGTATTTCTACTCCTTCTCTTCCCTGTTTCCTGTTATTTTGTGGAAACTTCCGGTTTTCTGCCTCACTCGCAGTTCTCTGATCTCTTGCAAGTGGAAACTGTCTGCTTCATGAAGTGTAAAATAAAGTCTGTATCACTTGAAATGTCTTCTTTAATCTTCCGAATAGTTCTAACGGCACACGTACTGGAACCCCAGCATTTCTTCAGAACCCCTACACCCAGGAAGGAGTTTACCACACACCACTTATGCAAGGGATCATGTTAGATTTTTGGGGGTACCAAAGTGACAAAGACATGGTTCCTTCGGGTTTAAAATCACCCCTACCCTTTATTCCTTACTTTCTTGATTCATCCGCTTTATGCCTGCAGTATCTTTCAATCAACTGCTCAGCGGCATGTGAAGCCCGCAGACCATGCAAAGACGAAGCAGGCCCCAGGAAACCACGTTCCCCCAGGCCTACCATGGAAGTCTGCCCTGAAGTCACTGTACACACTAAACGATGGTTCATACCATGAGATGGCAGCAAAAAGTGCATTTATCAAAAAAAGAACTTATAACGCAGGAAGAATGGAGAATTACAATATACAAAAAGTCTTCCTGGCATAAAATGTCTTCTAATCATCCATAGGTATATTGCTGTTAACCCCAACTTGTGTTTAGAATTTGGTACACAAATGTGTGTCACCTCTGGAGAGCTCCCCACCTGGGGCGCAATGTGCCTCTTAGTCACCCAGAACCCTTCATGTAGTTTCTCTCAGGTGACATGTGACCCACCTGGGAACCTGGGCGCTCCACAAAAAGCTCCTGGAAAATCATTAACGCTCAGGACCACACTTTGCTATCAGACCCATTTGCCTTTAGCAGCAAAGTGGAATATATTGGTCTTACCTATAGCCTAAAAGCCTGTCCCTCCCCAGAGAAGCAACCTCTCTGTATATAGTTAAAAGGATTAAAGCAACACCATCAAGTCCCATCATTTCTACTTACATTGCACAGTGCAGTGGAGTGAAGGGATTACCGATAAATTTGCGAAAACATTTTTGCTCCAGAAGTACCTCTATACAGTTTTCATTACCTGCAAGGAATCAACAGAATTTAGAGAGCTTCCAAGAAAGAAATTTTGTTCAACACAGTCTATTTTTGTTGCTGTCGTTAAGTCCTGAATTCTGGCTTATAATTTCCCTGAATTGGCTGAACAGGCATTCTCCGCGGAATGAACAAAATGCCACAATGTCATTAACCATGCTCACAGGTGTTCGGAGACATAATGAAACGGGGAAGGCCATATGTTCTAGAGGAGAGAAAGAGATAAAGAAGGGACCTCATTTGCAAGTAGAATAGATTCGACGTCATTCTCAGCTCTCAAGAGAGAGATGCCTGACATAGGTACGCCTCAGTTTGCCCATGTTTACAACAGGAAATTCTCCTTTCGCCCACATGAATGGGTTCACTTACAATTCTGCAACCTAATTCAGGAAAGAAGATGTGATTGAGAGAAATCGGTATTTGAGGCAAGGCTGGTGAAAGGGCTTTGACTATAAAATACGATGGAAGGGTTTAAAATGGCACCAAGACCAGTTCCTGGCAAACAGAATGCACCCAATAAGTATTTTCTTAATAAGTAGAGTAATGAATGTGAGGGATTATTTTCAACAAAATGACAATAGCTTCTAAATCAACTGATTTTGAGTTGAGTAAGACCCCAGTTCTGTCCGCTTACTTGTTACATGACTTAGGCAACCCACTTGGATCTGTAAGTCTCAGTTTCTCATGTCACAGGATGATGGAGTTTTTGGTTGATAAAAGACCTAACTGTGGTTTGTGAGACAATGTGCCTTGAGCAAGAGGAGCAAGAAGGCGATGCTGTTTGGCTTTGGAATACAGATTATTGTCCTGAACCTCTTCTTGGCTGAATTTAGCGCTAAATTAGAGTTCACTTATGATCTATCCCAGAATTATGTAGATTGGATAATTTTAAGTGTTAAAATACAAGTCACACCTTTCTTGAACCTGTAGAGAAGAAAGCTGAAACTGCTTTTAGGATGGAGAGGCATATGAAGTAATGAATATAAAATCCTCTAACTTGATTCAAGTTACACTGTTTAGCTTTCCAACTACATCCAACCCTCACTCAAATAGTCCCAAACACTTCATCCCCTCTAGGAGTATGAATCCCCCACAAAGGACCTCTCTTAGGGCAGCATCTAAACCTACCATTCCTTGGAGACCATTATGAATCCTAACCTAAGGTCTATGTAGGGAGGACTGGAGACACTTGCACAAATGTCGATATTCAAAGTGCTCAGTGGAAGGGATCTGGGAATATGGGAGCTTGAACCCTAGATCTAAAAGACTGTACTGGGAAGGAGATTGCTTGGGAAAGGACAGATCCTCCTTCCCTGTATGCATCTGAAGTGGCCTAAAAACAGAGAGACCTGCTTTCCCCACCCCACCCGGCTCTGGGGGAGAGGATGTGGTCTGTAATCAGCACTCTTAATGTGTCTTCCCCTTCCAGTAGGTTTTCTAGTGCTAGAGAGCTCTCACAGCTTGACTCAGATGGTGGTTAGGGAGCTCTCATCCATTAGTAAGTGGGAAAAAAATCATAATCTGCCAACGGCTGAACAGGAGAAAACTTGTTCTCTGAAAAAAGAGAGGACTATAATGAAAGCATAATGAAAGGTCTGACATCAATATATGAGAGCATCCCAAAAACCTTTTTGGTCCTAATAATCAGAGTTTCTGAGTGAAAATTTTAATAGAAGAATTGAAAATGGAAAAATAAAATTATAGAAACCAAGTAAGAAGTATTTGGGAAATTATCCACATAAAATTGAGGGGGGGGTTTCTTAAACAAGATTGGAAACCTTTGTGCAATAAAAGAAAAAATTTGACAGATTCAACTAATAAAAGTTCAAAATCTCTGCATGGAAAAGGGTTTCATAAACAAGGAACAAAGACAAATGATAGACAGAGAGAAAACATTTGCAGCATACATAACAAGAGGAGGGTTCCTATTTCTAAGACAAGGTACTTCTACAAACATATGAGAAATGATGAACTCAATAGGAAAAAAATGGGCAACAGATGAAAAGGCATGTCCAGAAGAGGAAAAGGAAATTCAAATACATAAATAAATACACTATCAGAAAAATGCAATTTGAAATAATGAGGTGCCTGTTTCTTATCCTTCAAATTGACAAAAATTTTAAAAAAGATGATATTGTCTTGAGCTGGCAAAGGCTTAAGAAAGTAGTAAGTTTTATATACATGTCTGATGGAGTAATGCACTTTGATACTCTTTTTGAAAAGCAATATGGTATAATTCACTAAAATTAAAAAATATACATGCTCTCTTACCAATAATTTCACTTTTGGAAACTTAACTGACAGAATTTCTGGTACCATAATACGAACACACACACTGAAGCATTGTTTGTAATCAGAAAAAACCTGAAAACAATCTGAATGCTCATCAACAAGGATCTGGTATGAATAAACAATAAATTCTGGTATACACACTCACACATGTGTCTACATATCCCGCTGCACACTATAAAATAGACAACCATGAAAAAGACCCACGTATACTGATACATACCGACCTGTGAGAATATCTCCAGTAGAAACTTACGTAAACAGTACAAAAAAGAAAGTTATCTAATATTTGTGACATGATTCTAGTTTTCAAAAATAGATGCATATACAATTTGTATTTATTTATTATTCTCAAAGGAAAATTACAAAAGATACCTACAGAATTACATCAGAAGGTAAATTTGGAGATGGAGACAACTTTAGGCACCTCAGTATTTCCGATATGTTCCAATTAGTATGCATTTTCCTTTTTTACTCAAATACGTGAAACGAGAAATTTAAAATCTCCCAAACAACAAGTGCAATTAAATAAACAGGGGATATAGGACATAAAAAGAAATGCTGAAAAGAAAAATCATGTGTATACTAGTAGGCAACTGTAACAGATTATTACATCAATGTTTTTGTTTGTTTTTAGCTGTATTATTTTAATTCCTTGTAGGTGCTCTCCTTTACCTGGGTAAACTAGAAACCCTGGTTAAAATTAGTTACTTCAGCTCACGGAGGTTCTGAGTGGGAGTTACATGTTGTGATTAACAAAAATAGGGCATCATGGTGGTCATGAAGGGAAAAGCTCAAAAAAGAAAAAAGGTATCACAGGTTCAGAAAGGTCGGAAACCATGGTTTAGGATGCTACAGTACATTCTCACCTCTGCTGAGACCACAGCCGTGCCGGGTAAGGAATCTACTGGAATCAGTCAAAGGGCAATGCACTCACCATTGTAACAAGCCCAGTGCAGCGGCGTGTAGCCTTGGTTGTCTTTGAAAGAACAGTCCTCCTCGGACAGTGCCATCTGGAGCAGCTCGCTCAGCCACGTGGCGTGGCCGCGAGCAGCCGCATAGTGCAGCGGGGTCCTTCCTCTGGAGTCTTTACACAGAATCGACACTTCTTGCTCCAGCAGCATTTGCACACATTCCTCGTGGCCTGTCATAATCTGATGCATCGCAACGAGAAACACAAGACACGTTTCAGAACGGCAGAGATGCAGGAAGCAAGGCGGTGACTACATGAGGCTCGGTTCCCAGTGAGCAGACAGACGCCTGGGCCTTATCGGGGATACGTCAGAGGACAGAGGGGGACAACCCCAGCAAGATTCATGACAGAGAAGTCTGCGAACACACCAGCATCTTAGCAACATCTCTAGACTCTCCGAACATAAACTTGAAGGGTCTCATGCTAGAGCAGAAAATACCGGCTTTTCGAATCGGGAAGGTACAGGTGGAGCCCCGGCTTCCCGCTTGTAAACCCTGGGCACATCCATCTGCCTGTCTGTGCCTCACTTCCTCTACCTGTAAGCGGGAACAGCAACAACGACTCGCAGGTTGTAACGAGACAGTAAAGTCTCCCAGCCTGTGGCTCCGCCCACAGGAAGTCGTCAACGATGATTAGGACATTGACCGCTTAGTGTTTGTCTTTTCATTCATCATAGTGTTCGGCACCATTCCCAAGCAGCAACTTTATGATTTCTGTTTTTGTTTCATTTAGTTTGGCATGTTTTAGAAAAATTTCAGCAGATATGTATGGAGCATCATCCACAGTATACATATTTCGGGTGGTGAATGGGCCAACATTTGCAATAAGGAACAATTAGAAATAACGTGGCCACTCAAAACTAGGTAATCATCAGAATAAATTACACCTCCTGCACACAGTGGGAGATTAGAATAACGGGGCAGAAAAATATTTAGTGACATGGAAAAAGGTCCCTGATTTCCTTTGAGAAAAAAAAAAAAGCAGGTTCCAAATAGCATCTTCAGTATTCTCTCTTTTTAAATTCAAGACAAACCCCTATACAGCAAAAAAGGCTGGTGATACATGCACCAAAATGTAGTTATCTCCAGGGGGTAAGATTACAGGTGATTGTGACTTTCTTCTTTGAGCCTTTTTTTTTTTTTTGTAAATTTTCTAGGATGTGTGCATATTCAAAAACCAGAACCAATCCCACCAACAGCGGGTGTTTATGTGTCCATTATCACAATCTAACTTGAACTCTGAAAAGCAGGACCTAGGAGTAGCTGTTATTTTACCTTTGCAGAAGGTTTTGTAACTTCTTTCTTTCTTTCTTTGTCATCTCTGTACTCCATGTGGGTCTTCAACTCACGACCCGGAGATCAAGAGTTGCATGTTCTTCCAACTGGCTGAGATTAAGTACTTATCTTAGGGAACAACCTTTTTACTAAAGCTTCTTATGGGGGAAAAAGAGGAAACGGGCTCACTGCAAAATTACTTCACTAAAGCCGAGGAAAGGCACGTACCCCTCTGTGTAAAGCTGTGCAGCCCATGAGGTCAACAGCATCTACATTGGCTTCTTTTTCAAGTAACAGTGAAACAGCATCAATGTGTCCGTATGCCACGGCAAGCATCAGTGGGGTTCTAGGCAGAGAAATCAACCAGGCAGGAAGATCAGGGAAAGCGAACAAACAAAAACCCATCCCTTACTTCCAGAGGGAGGACCCCTCTCTCTTCACTTTCTCTCTCCTCTTAACAATTGCTTAATATTTTCTGAGTGTCCCCAGTTCGCTCCACGCTGCATGGAGCAAGCTATCCCCGTCCCTGCTCTGTAAAGGCCGCTTGGAATGGTGTTGGGGTCCAGGTGGAACAGGGGAAGGTTCCTTCTCAAACTGCTCATGTTAATCCCATCATTTTCAAAACTGTGTGGCATTCTCCAAATAATCACTGAGTAGGGAGTGTGTCTACACAGGAGACTCTCTTGCTCCTCTCATCTTAGTTCTACTTTCATAGTTTCTACCTTGAACTTCTGCTTAAGATTTTACTTCATCAAAGCTTCCTTGCTGTGAAGAACAGCCTGACAAGTCCAGAGGGGAAAAAAAACAGAGTGTCGGGACCTGGGAGGTGAGGTTCTCGTTTTAACTCTGACTCTAATTCACAGCTCTGGGGTGAGTCACTTTGTGCTTTGTTTTTGGCACCACATTCCCGAAAGACTAGGTGGGGGAATGGGCTAACAGATGGAAAATACTTTGGAAAAACAAACTCAGAAATGATAAAAATATGAAGTTTCTTTTTTTTTTATGATAGAGATAACCTCTTGAGGTCTGTCCTACTGTCATCATTAGTTTAAAAAATGGGAATGCTGCAGCTTCATAAGAGGGTAAAAATGGATACAAAGAAGAAACAAATGAAAGCAGGGCCAGGACTCATGGTCACAGACATGAAAAGTTGGCTCCTTGTCATCAAGATACACCCCTCTCCATACTCTCCTTGGCTATACACTCCAGCGCAAAGGCCCCTCATTGTCCTAGGGCTCTCAACTATGAATTTCCCCCAAACATACACCTCAAACTAGAATTCAGCGTCCACCTGCCTAGCTGTCTAACAAACATGACCCATGACCCGTTGGGACTGAACTGCCACCCCCAGGCCAGGATGAAGAACACTCACTGTCCTTTGGCGTCTTTCACGTCAATGGCTTCTGGGTTGTCCGCAATTTCTAGTAAGAGCCGCAAACACAGTGTGTGACCGTTAATTACTGAAAAAGAAAAGAGCGGACATTCCTCTTAACAGACTAGCACCACACATATCCCTCCAAAGCGAAGTTTATCTGGACTTCAGGTTAGTCGTTTCAGTTGCCGCTGCCAGCGCTCCCCAGGCTCCCCGGCAGGTGGCGCCCCAGCGTCTGTCACCCGGTTCTTCCGCCCCATCCTTCCCATCGGGCACTTCGGTCCTCCCCCAGCTTCTTCCTGTTCCTGTGCTGAGACCTTGTTCCGGAAAACCGATGTCCTCTCTCACCTCCTCGTATGGGACTGATGACCTCTCCCGAACGTTCGGCTGTCCGTCGTGTTCCCCCAAGAGAGTCACCCAATTCCTTATAACCCCGTGTCCAGCCTGCCTCCCGCCCTTTTTAAGAAGAAGGAATGGAGAAGAGGAGCAGCATAGGATGGAAGGAGAGGAGGGAAGGGGGGAGCAGAGGAGAGGAGGAAGGGAGACGCGGAACGGGTCCTGCCGTCTTTCCCTCCCAGTCGCTTCACGCGTGGAGGCAGACGCGAAAGCAATCGTTCTGACTGAGGAGGGGTGACGTGCACAAAGCTTCCCACAGGGCCCGTGTACGCAGGCTCTGGCTCGCCGCTCCTGGACTGGCCAGCGGCTCGCGGAGACTCACAGATGTGCCCCGGCAGCTGCCAGACAGCTCTGCCCACGAGCTCTGCAAACTACAACCCATGGTTTCTCTGCCTCCCGGGGTCTCGCATGGCTGCCACCTCCCGGCCCCTCTGGCCGCTCCGTTCTGTCCCTGGTCAAGCTGTGACTCCGGTGCCCGCCTCACCCCTTCCCAGGCGCTGCCCCATCCTCCCCTCACCCCTTCCCACCCTAATGGGGGCCGCCCGCAGGCAGGAAAGAGGGCCCTAATGTAGGCCTTGACCTGCTGGAGTCAAATACAAGGTTGTGCCCCGCGCACCAGGCGAGATGCTGCTTTTGGGAGTGGTGGTGTCTCCAGAGCAGGGAAGCGAGCCTCCCGGGATGATAACCCGCTGGGCTAAGGTATTTCCTCCAGCTTGTTGAATGGAACCCACAGCCTTACAGAAAACATGACTTTCCACTGAGGGAGTAGGACGAGAACAAATATGCTTAAAATTCCCAACGTGAACTTCTCTCCTTTCTGAACAATGCGAACACCATAAAACGCGCTGCTTTTACCCCACGATGGCTGTGGAGAGGGAAGGGAACAGCCGCAGCCACGTTCGGCTGATGAAGGTTCTTCTTCTAAGAGCTGCGTTTCACATTTTTGATTGCCCGCCGGTCGTGAGAGAATGCTAACTGAACAACGACATGTCTGCCAGGGACAATGCCATTAGAATGAGTTCACAGTCATTGACACAACTCAAACGAACGGCAGGAATAATGCCCACATTGTGAAGACCACGGCGCTCAGCTGGTTCAGCAGTGTTCCGGTTATGTGTCTCAGGAGGACATCTTGTGAGCCGGGGTACAGGCAACACACTGCTGTTGCTGCTGTTTTGTTTTTTCGTTTGAAAAATGACACTAAATCTATTGCCACTGGTAAAATATGCAAGAATTCAATGGATGCTTAAAAGGACATGATGGGCAGAGGACTGAGAGCTGAACAGTATAGACAGTGCGGCCATGAGAATGCAGGTCTCGTGTGTTTTCATGGATTTCTCTTCCCATATCAATTTGATATTCTTGAAATACTCATAATAGTTCCAAAGATGTTTGGTTTTTGGCTACACAGAAAAAGAGAAGAAAATCATCTAGGAATGCTGGAGAACAAACCCATTTCTAAGGTGGTTTTTGTTTTGTTTTGTTGTTTTGTGGGCCACTGCTTTGGAACTTAGCTCATAGCCCTCAGGTAATTTTTTTTTAAAAAGATTTTATTTATTTATTTGACAGACAGAGATCACCAGTAGGCAGAGAGAGAGGCAGAGAGAGAGGGGCAAGCAGGCTTCCCGCTGAGCAAAGAGCCGGATGCGGGGCTCGATCCCAGGACCCTGAGATCATGACCTGAGCTGAAGGCAGAAGCTTTAACCCACTGAGCCACCCAGACACCCCGAATTTTCATTCCTCTCTACTATAAAAGTGTAGCAACACGAGAATTCTCATTCGCTTCCCACACACGTTTTCCCCTAGTTGCCTTCTAGCGAAAAGACACTAGCATCTCCTTGGGCTGTGCCCTGTGCACTCCAGCTTTGTCTCAGACCAGCCTGGTCTCTCCCCAGCGTAAGTGACCCGGTCTCTCCCTGGCGTGAGTGACAGCCTTTTCTCATGTTGCTCACAGGCCACAACTGTCACTGCAACTCTCTGTGCCAAAACTCTACTCTCCATCCCGGCTCCGGGCCCTCCCAGTACTCCCAGGATTTGAAACAATCAAACTGCCTCTCAAATTGGAAAAGATTCTGGAAGCGCAAGCTAAAACTTTTGCACAGGGGACATTTTGTGGAGAATAGAGTCAAAGGACAGCCCGAGCGTCTCTAACGAATGACGTGAGGGAAATCCAAGAGGAGTGAGTCATCTTGACCACCAGGGGGCTCCATTGGCCCACAACCCGTGTCACGGTGGCAAATGAACGACAACGTTCATCCTTCATTGTTTACCGGTTTAGAAGGACAATATTCCACCATGGAAACAGGACTTTTGTAACTGGCAGGAAATACTGTACATTGTAGCTAAAGGAGAATGTTTGCCATAATAATATACAATTAATCTTTAAGGAGAACTAAATTTGAACTTTATAATAATACCAAGAATGCCCTGAACACCAAACTTCACAATGATACTTTACAATAATATCAAGAATACCAAAGCACAAAGTGTGATGGGAAATGAGAATTCATAGTTTAACCTTACCAACCATTACTGACCTCATGGCTCAAGTTTTTTCCAGGAATAATCATTTCCAGGTAATTAGGCAACACCATGTTTTTTCAATCTCTATATTGCTTTTCTTCAGTGGTTTGGAAATTCAAGGATATATATGGAAATAGTTTTACAAGACCTAACTTTTTTTTCCAAGTAACAAGAATCAAGTAACAAGTCTTTTCGAAAAACTGTCTCCGCTCCTTTGTTCCCCAATCCACCCATTATTCCATGGTCTGAATAAGATAGTTATTTCTCTTTATGAGACAGGATCTACCGTCCTGATCAAAGGCTGATATCATTGAATTCCTGACTCGAAAGGAATTCATGCCTTCGCTGAGCTACAGAATCTCCCACATTACCTTTATATCTATCTGTGTAAACATCCAGAAATGTCTTGACGGAATTTTATTTTATGTCTACTGGAGAAAAGTCCCAGAAAAGGCAAATTACTTACTTTTTGATATATACATATACTTTAAAGAGTCTCTATTGTTACACATGATACATCAAGAATCAGCACCAGAGCAAAAGCTAAGAAACATCATTTAGACTGGCAGAATGATGTACCGATTAGATTGCTGTCTGATGACTTTTTATGAAATAGCTGTGAAAAAATTGTTGATTTTTTGCTATAAAATGCTGTGTGATTTTGTCTTTGTAACTCATTTAAAGATCATATTACACCCTGTTTCCTGTTTAGGAAGTTTTTGGATAGCCACTGGTCAAAATTCTGAACTCTCTTCTGAGTTAAGAAGGCAAGATAGGGTGCGGAGGATTTTTAGGGCAGTGTTTCTAGTATCTTCCTTTATATGATACCATAATGCTGGATCTATGTCATCATACATTTGTCCAAATTCACAGAAGGGAGAGCACCAAGAACGGACCCTAATGTAAACTGAGGACTTTGGATGATTAGGATGGGTCCCTGGAGGTTTAACAATTGTAATGAATGAAACACTCTGGGGAGGGTTACTGGTAATGGGGAAGTCCGCGCATGTGTGTGGGTGGGGGGTGGAGGGAGACAGGAAATATATAGAACGTCTTTGTACCTTCCTCTCAGTTTTGCTGTGAACCTAAAACTGTTCCAAAAGAAGAAAGCTAGAGCCTCTCTGGCTAGAGAACACTAATCCTCTTCAAGTGGATAGTTGGGCCAAAAGCATTTTGGAAGAGTGTAGGCAGAGTTAATATAGAAAGAAAACTGAAATTTTATAAAAGTGGGGATGAAAAGAAATGCTGCCATCCTTTTCCTTTGACTTGCAACCAGACTCCTGACAGGACCCACCTGAGGCATGGAGTGGGGTTCTTTTGGTTACATTGTCTTTCACAAAGATGGACGCGCCCTGATTGATAAGTGCTTCCACACACTCTGTGTGTCCCTTAAAGGCAGCCAGGTCCAGAGCGGTGCGGCCTTTCTCATCCCTGATGTCCAGGTCCACCAATGACTGCAGGAGGACTTCCAAGGCTTGGTGGTGCCCGTTGTAGGCCTGCAAGGAAGAAACTGACGGCTGAAATGCTCGCTCACCCCAAAACCCACAACCACCCACGTGAGGGGCTAAGCCTCCTGGGTCACCACTGGAGACCGCTCCAAGGAGCACACCAGAAAGATGCTGGGGATAATTATTGAAACAGACAAACCGGAACATCAGACTGAAAAATTATAATGCATAAGCCTCAGGCTACATATGAATTTCTGCAAGTTCTTTCTTGTTTGTGAAATAATATGTTCCAAAGGTACTAAATGTATCCTTGTATTTATATCTACCCATCTAATAATCTAACACAGACTAGCAGCTGAATGAATTAATATAATCTTCTATCAGTTCAGTCCCAAACATACTGACACAATCAGAATTATTTTGGGGGAGACTTCTCTGTTAAACCTAGAGGGGGGGAAATTATTAAAGACAATGTGGACTTGATAATTTATCAGAAGCATAGAGATCTGTTACAGTCTAACATTTTAATTTCTAAGCACAGGACCCCGGGCAAGTTTCTTAATTTCACTGAGTTTGTTTTCTCATCTATACAATGAGAGCAATAAAAGCTGCCTCCCAGGAAAGATAAAAAGAGATAAATTCACAAGGTTTTCCGTAATATCTTGTGCACAGTGGATGCTTCCTCCTTTATCCTTTTACTTCTGCCATTGATTATCGTGAAAACACAGACACAATTACGGAAATACATTCCCGTGTACCAGCAGCAAGTTCAGGCCTATGATGAGGTCCTATGCTATGTTAGGTCAAGAGGCTTCCCACTACCAAGACACAAAATCGAAAGATTGAGAGAATTTGCATTAAGTCTATAAAGTTAAAAAATGTATATGCACACACAGGGCAAAGGACATTGGAAATAAAAAAAAGAAGAGGGATAAGGATAGGAGGGGGGACTAAGGAGGGAGAAGGAAGTAAAGAAGGAGACACAGAGAAGATCTGCCCTCGCCAGCCAGGGTCCCCTCTTCTGTCGGCTGCACTTTTCCCTTCCCCACTGCAGTGGTTACTCAAGGCACAGCACGTTTGAAAAGAAACTTAGCACAGACAAAAGAACAATATCTCTCATACACAAAAAGCTCTTACGAACCATTTCAAGACTTCGGAAAATGTACAAAAGGGCATGAAAAGACAGCTCACAGAACAAGAAATAGGAAAGGCCAATGAACATATAGAGGAAACACATACATTTTTTAAGGTGCTATTTTTCAACTACCAGACTGACAATGATTACGTTTGGTCACGTCCAGTACTAGTTAAGACATGGTAAAATAAAAGCAGGGGCACGGGGGCACCTGGGTAGCTTAGAGGGTTAAGTCTCTGCCTTCTGCTCAGGTCATGATCTCAGGGTCCTGGGATCAAGCCCCACATCGGGCTTTCTACTCAAAGGGGAGCCTGCTTACCTCCCTCTCTCTCTGCCTGCCTCTCTGCCTACTCGTGATCTCTCTCTCTCTGTCAAATAAATAAATCTTAAAAAAAAAAAAAAGCAGGGGCATGTGGGTGGCTCAGTCGGTTAAGCGTCTGTCTTGGGCTCAGGTTATGATCTCAGCGTCCTGGGATGAAGCCGCCTTGGTCTCCCTGCTCCTCCTACCTACCCCCTACTCCCTGCTCATGTGCTCTCTCTCTCAAATAAATAAATAAAATCTAAAAAAAAAAAAAAGACATGGTGAAAAAAGCAATCTATGCTCTGTTGCTAGTGTACGCTGTGACATTTGTAGAGAGTGATTTGACAAAATCTATCGAAACCTTTTTGAAAAACTAAGCCGCAGACAGTATGTATAACGTGACCTCATTTATATAAAAAGCAAATACACCCAGATATATACCTATCTATATCTATGTATATTTCTGTATTCATAGAAAATTTCAGGGTTATGGACACTGGGGAGGGTATGTGCTGTGGTGAGTGCTGTGAAGTGTGTAAACCTGGCGATTCACAGACCTGTACCCCTGGGGCTAATAATACATTATATATTAATTTTAAAAATTAATTAAAAAAAGAAACTGTTAATGGTGGATACCTCTATAATGGAAGATAAAGTCACGAATATATGGACTTGTTTCATTTTACTTTTTTAAAAAAATCATTTGAATTTTTCCCCTAAGTATATGTTAACAACAATTATATCCAAAACTAAATATAAAAGGATCCATAGAATTTTAAGAGTCCTGATAGGAATTGTTTGAATACTTTCTCTTGACATTATTTTGTGAATGATTATGGCTATTATATATTATGTAGTAAACATATACGTTACCTATATTATGATGTATAACAATTCACAGGCTGATGAATCTCAAATTTATTTCCCATTCGTAACGTCTCCTTTTACTTCTAGACTTGTATATTCAACTGCCCATTGATATTTCCACTCGAAGATATGCCTCTCAAGCTTAACACGTCCCAAACCAAATTCTTAATTTCCTTCCTCAAAGTTGGTCCATCTGTAGCCTCTTCCAACGCAGGAAGTGGCAAGGCTATGCTTGTTGCTGCCCAGGCCCCGAACTCTGGAGTCGTCTGTATCTTCCCTCTTCAGCCCAGAGTCGTAGCCCTATACGAGGGCTCTGGGACACTAGGGCAAGAAGGTGTTGAAAATAGCCTTGGGCTCCCCATGCTCCCCAGGGCACTTAAGTTAGGTGCTAAACTTGTCCCTACACTTTCTCCTTTAATCCTCACCACAAAAAATACATCCATCAGCCTGTGTTAAATATAGAGGCTTAATTAAAAAAAAAAAAAAAAGAGTGACCCTGCTGGTGATTAGGAAAGCTTCACAATTCTATCCCATCCTTTCTTCTATATCAGGCACTTGAAAGTCTCTTAAAGACAGAATGGTTGAAAGGCCAGGTTTACCCATAGAGTTCCTTTCATTTCTCACCCCTAGTCTAGCTTGAATTTTAGCATGCAAAAGCATGACCCCACAGAATTGAAGACATAAAACTATGTGCACTCAACTTTAAGGGCAATTTAAGGGAAATAATGAAAGTAACTTTGATTAGACAAGAACTTTCACTTACAGCCACACTTTAGAGCTCAACTCTGTAGACAAAGGACCATGCGATATGAAATTCTAGTTAGGGTTAAATGCATGATTCTGTCTTTGGGCAGGTATATGGTTCTTGGAGTCTACATAAAAGTATACAAAGAAGCTTTAAACTCTTTGAGGAGGCTCAGGTAGGCAGGAAAGGAGACCTTTCTCATGTCAGCAGTACATGATGAAAATTGCCCTATTTCTCTTTCTATTTCCATCCTAAACTAGCTAATTAATAGGTAGTTTCACCAATAATTTCTGAAATAACGAAATGAGGAGGTAATCACAGAAAAGAACAAACATGCTCGTTCAAAAAGCATGGAATAGCTTGGCTTTCAATAGACGGGCCAGTTCAAACCTTCACAGAGGTAAGCAATCAAATATTTTAACTTTGCTTTCCTGAAAAATCTTTCTTAAAAAATATATTGCTAGGTAACTTAAATATGTCTTAAATACAATTAATTCTTTGGACTTTTCAGATAGGAACGGAGGGCAATGAGGAGAAAGAATCTGGGATCTCACCAGAGTCCACAAAACAATGGGTCCATCTGGAATCTTGACAGCTGGACCCTTTCATTTGCATAACCTTGCTTCTTGATTTAATTTTTTCAAGTGGAGGAAATGTTTATGAAATTCACTGGGTTGATAACCCTGGAGACTTGAATCACTCAGCCAGGAAATGGTAACTCAAGGCAGGTCAGGTTTCTTGTGTATAGTCAAAGTTTGGGGGCATCTGGTTCTATTTCACTCCTAGAATTCATCCACAGAAGAAATAATGTGCTTTGGGTTTTTATCAAGCTAATTGCCACCAAGGCCCCTGGAGAGGGTGACGGGCATACTTGCAGGGTTCTTGAAGCAAATAATAATTTTTTAAAAGGCATTAGCATTTAGAAGGCAAGAATAACATAGTTTTAGAATTAATCCACTGCTATCACCCTGGTCAAAGCCATCAGCATCATCATCATCAACATCATCACTTCCTGGTTGCCCTGTTTCTGTGTTTGTTCCCTCATGATGTAAAATCAACACAGAAGCTAAAGTGATCCTTTTCAAACAGAAGTCATCTCATATCATCTGTATCCTCAAATTCCTCCAAATGGTTTTCAATTTGCTCTGCATAAAAGTTGAAATTCTGGGGCACCTGGGTGGCTCAGGCATTGACTCGTGTCAATTGACTCGTGACCTCGTGTCACCTCCACAATGGCCCTATGACAGAGGTACTGCAATTCTCCTCATGTCATGGGTGAGGAAACTGAGACACAAGGGTCAGGTATTTGGCCAAGATACCACAAAAACCAATTAAATAAATTTACAAATTAGACAGGGTTTGGGGGTCTTTAACTTACTCCTTTTAATTTACAGGTGGGAAAACCATGTCATGGTGAGTTGTTCACGGGAAGACTGGGGGCTGGGACCTCCTCTCTGAGTGTATTTCCCAGGCGCCTGCCAGCAGCAGAAGTGCCAAATGCCCAGTTCTCTCCACTGATAACACGCTACCCTGTCTTTACGTGACCAGAAACCCAAGATCTTAGCAGAGCAACTGACACAATAATCCAACGATAATAATCCAACAATAATTCTCAGGAAAAAATAATGAGAGATGACAGAATTTGGGGGAAGCTAACAAAGTCTCTTCTCAGATTACTAGCAGGTGACCCCACTGATAAAGGGCATGTGAATTCTGTCTGAGATCCCCGAAACAGTCCTCTCTCGAGGCAGCTAATGCTGTATGTGAACCCTCCACTTTGGGGTACCTTTCCCAGGGGCAGAAGATGGTTGTGCAGAGATTCTAGGGAGCAACCTTTAGGGCAACCTGTACTGAGAACCAAGGGGCATGAAACTTTATACATGCAAATATCCACCATCCATCCGCCTTTCCCACTCTAAGTCCATCTCCGGAACAAAGACGGATGCACATTTTAGCCTAATTGCACTGGACTCAGAATGTGTGTGTGTGTGTGTGTGTGTGTGTGTGTGTGTGTCTGTTGCGTGTGTGGTGGATGTGTTGGTGGACATGGCCGACGGTGGTGACCAGGATCAGCAGAGTTGCTGGCGACCATGTGGGGAGACGACCAGTGAAGCCTGGGCTCCGTGCGGTGTGATCAGCTCATCCCAGTCCTGCTGGGGTGGGGTCATGCCCTCCCCTTGCGTGACTACTTACATGTGCCCATTGACAAAACACTCCCCTCTGTTCTACAAAATCTCATCTCAGTTTTTCATCAGAGTGACGCTGAGAAGTGCTAATAGTGGATGGTATTAAGTGAACGTCCCAACAGTTCAACTTAGAGACCTGGCCCCTTTCCGCTCTTCTTAGAATTCAGCCTCCAGATATGCCCAGACACCATCACTGTGGCCGTGGACTTGAGGCCCCATGTTGCCGCAGCACCTTCTACAGGGGAGCGGCTGTTGCTGGGTGGGGCAGCCCGTCCCGGAGGCTTCTAGAGAAGACCTGATGATTACTAACTGCTAGCAGGACACCGGCTGAGAGAAACTGGTGTGTGAGTCTGCAGGCTCTGTCACCCCCGTGGAGAGTTTGGGGATCCTCGCTCTGAGCTGTTATGTTTCCCTTTAGTCAGGGATGCGAAGAGGAAGCTCTGCTGGTGACAGGATCGGTCTTCCTCCCTGCTCTGAGGTCTCAGCCAGTACAAGAATCATCCCTCCTAAAAAACCCTGATTTCAAGCGCAAGCAGGAAAAGTCGAGTTGCATTTATGTGTCTGCTCACCTTGCTCTCACAAGTTTGTGTTTAAATAGCTCACAGTTTTTAATTGTGGAATTTGGTTGATTTTGTGGTAGGCTATAGACTCATGTACTGTTGGCTACAATCAGATCCTTACAGGGTGCCTGGGTGGCTCAGTGGGTTAAAGCCTCTGCCTTCAGCTCAGGTCATGATCCCAAGGTCCTGGGATTGAGCCCTGCATCGGGCTCTCTGCTCAGTGGGGAGCCTGCTTCCTTCTCTCTCTCTGCCTGCCTTTCTGCCTACTTGTGATCTCTGTCTGTCAAATAAATAAGTAAAATCTTAAAAAAAAAACCCAAATACCTGTGTTACAGGTTTAAAAAAAAACCAAAATGTGTTCTTCAAATTTCCTCAATGTTTTAAATTGAGCTATTAGACAGTAATAATTATAAAGACTGTTAAAATGTATAATAATAATTTATTAAGGGGTGCCTGGGTGGCTCAGTGGGTTGAGCCTCTGCCTTCGGCTCGGATCATGATCTTAGGGTCCTGGAATCAAGCCCCGTGTCAGGGTCTCTGCTCGGTGGGGAGCCTGCTTCCCCCCATCTCTCTGCCTGACTCTCTGCCTACTTGTGATCTCTGTCTATGAAATAAATAAATGAAATCTTTAAAAAAATAATAATTTATTAAGTACACGGTGGTAAAGGCTCTAAGAAAATTGTCTCTTTTATTTTGCCATCATTTGACAATTGGGGAAACTGAGGCCCAGATGGGGTAAGTAATGTGTCTGAGGTCACCAGTGGGTGAAGTTGGGATTGGAATTTGAGTCAGTCTTTCTCTCTGCAGCCTGTGCCTTTAACCATGTACTATTTTCATTATTAGTTCTTACTGTGTTACTATACTATCATTTTAAGAGCAGCCTAGTTCTAGGAACACCTAGATTCCTTTTGTAACAGAGGAAGCCACCCACGGCATCTCACTTACAGCTAAGTGGAGTGGACTCTTGGTAGCACCGGAGTCTGAGTCTTCAAAACCATTGTTGGTTCTTTCTAAAAGCTGTGAAGACAAAAAGAAAATGTGTACGTGAGTAAAATTTGCTGAAGGAATCTGCCTTTATGGATACGAATGTTGACGTCAATGCCAAAGAGGCTTCAATAATGTAAAATATGATGCTTCTTAGCAATATAAGAAACCTGCTGCAGCACACCTGAAACAAGAAATCGGACATAGCCTATCTAAAACAGATACTCTAACTGAACCTTTCAACTTCTAGATCATCTCAGGATTTGCTGATGAGAAAAAGGCTGTCATACTGAAAGATGCTCAGCCTCACCAATCCAGGAAAATAATTCATGTTTAATCCACTTTTCACCCAGCAGATCATAATACTGAAAAATTTTAATACCTAGTGTGTATTCCATTATCAAACACACATTTACTGGAGATAGTGTTGGAAGAGACATATAAGTCTCCTGTTCTCATGGAGCTTATGTTCTAGGGAGGGAAATCATAGATAAACAAATACAGACATAAGAAAATATCTGCTAATGACATGACGTGATATGGGATGACTGGGAAGTTACTTAACAGTTGATGATCAGGGAAGTCCTCTCCAAGGAAGTGACAATTAAAGTTAGGACCTAAATAACATGAAGAATTAAACCAAGTAAAAGTGTGGCAGGAGAGTATTCTGGAGGAGGAAGTTGTGGAGAAGGGGGTACAAACGCATCAAACATGGTGAGTGGAAGGAACAAGAAGGATAGTGTGACCAGGGTATGATGTTGGTGAAGGTATCAGGAAAAAGACATTCTCATGAACTCTCTGAGGGAACAAATTGCTAAAACCTTTCTGGGCAATTTGTGCATAAATTTGACCCTAGGAATTAATTCCAAATAAATAATTAGACTAGTGCACGATGATGCATGTATAAAGAAAGTTCTTCTTTATACATGTACCTAGATTACATGTATAAATATACCAATGATTACCAATGTACCTAGACACTGAAGATTCAATAATAAATAATATATTAAAATATCCATTTTCTTCAGCGGGGAGACAGAGTAGGCAATAAAAGAAAGAAGTTATGCAGTTAATTAGAAAATGGTATGTGCTATGGAGAAAAATAAAACTGGAAAGGAGGGTTCAGAGAGCCAGAGGGGAGGTCAGTTTGCAACTCAACAGGATGATCAGGGAGGGGCTTACTGGCTGAGAAAAGTCTTGAGGGTGATGAGAGAGCCTTGTGGACATCTGGGGGAGGAGTTTTCCAAGCAGAGAGGCCAGCAACTGCCACGTCTCTATGGAATAGGCGTGCTTAAGAACATCCAGGATGCTGGAGCAGAGTGAGCCAAGACGAGAATGATAGGAAAGGAAACCAGAGGGATGGTGACATGGTGACGGAGGGGGTAGGAGTGTCATCAAGAGCATTCTGGATTGTTCTAAGAATTTTGACCTTTCATCCTGAGACGGAATTTCAGTGTAGTGGTTTTTTTTTTTTAAGATTTTTTAAAGATTTTATTTATTTATTTGATAGAGAGAGAGAGAGGCAGGAAGAGAGAGACGCGGAAGCAGGCTCCCCGCTGAGCAGAAAGCCTGATGCAGGCTTTGATTCCAGGACCCTGGGATTATGACCTGAGCAGAAGGCAGAGGCTTTAACCCACTGAGCCACCCAGGTGCCCCTCAGTGTAGTGTTTTGAGCAGAGGGATGACATGTTCTAACTTTTATGCTCTAGGGAGGGCACTGAGAGAACCTGAGGCAATAGCCCAAGAGAGAAATAACAGTGGCTTAAAGCAGTGGAGAGCAGTGGGGTTGGAGAGAAGTAGTTGGATTGTAGATATTTTAAGAGGTAGAATCAATAGGATTTCCTGATGGATTGATTGAATATGAATTAAAAAAAAGATGGAAGTCAGGAATGACTTCTAGGATTTTGTCTTTGCAAATGGAAGGATGGAAGTTCCATGAACTGAGATGGAAAAGACCAAAGGTGGAATACCTAGTGGGAAAGAATGAAAGTTTGGGTTTGGAAATGATAAGTGTTTTGGAAATGGTAAGTCTGAGATGTTTTTAAAGTATTCAAAAGTGCATACCAACCAAACAGCTGTTGGGTACATGAGTGTGGAGTTCAGGTATTTAAAGCCACAGGATTAGATGAGATGAGTAAAGTAAACAGAGATGAGAGATGAGGAGAGACTTGGAATGATGAGGGGGAGACAGCAGGGAGACAGACTGAGCAGATGAACTAGAAGGAACACCAGGAAGTGTGAGGTCTGGAAACCAAATGAAGAAAGAGTTTCAATGAGATAATGAGTAACCATGTCAGAAGCCCTAAAAGGTCAAGTAAAATGAGCCCTGAGAATTGACCTCTGGTTTTGGCAACACGAGACTCTTAGTGACTCTGTGAAGAGCACTTTAACAAAACACTGTTTTTATGAAAAAAAAAAAAAAAGAAGAAGAAAAGAAAAACAGACAGCAACAGAGATGGGTTAAATAAATCGAAGTGGGACAGGGACTTCAGGGGAAAACGGCAGAGTGGGAAGTTTGGAGGCTCACCTCATCCAGATACAACTAGATAACCCCCATATCAGTGTAAATAACCCAGAAAACAATCCAAAGATTGGAAGAACAGATTCTCCAGAGCTGTGCATAGAGAAGAGGCCACATCAAAGAGGGTGGGAAAGGCATAAATGTGGTTGGGAGCTAAATGGACCTGCAGGACTTCTGGAGGGAGAGAGGAACAATGGGGGCACAGAGAAGGGTGAGAAACAGACCCTTACACCAAGCACCCCAGGCACAGGAGCCTGCACAGGGAAAACAAATCCCCATAACATTTGGCTTTGAAAATAGGGGGGTCTAATTTCTTGAGTTCTTATGATCAGTGGGGCTTACCACCTGGAACTTTAAAATTCAGTGAGCTCAGCTCTAAGAGAGCCAGGAGGGTGATAGGAAGTGGAGTCCTGCCTTTAGAGAGACAGCACAACAAAGAACCCAGAGAGGCAGCACAGAAGCAGCAGTTTAAAAAATGCCTGGGATATATGCAAAGAAGATTTATTTACTAATCTCACAACATGTGCTAGAGGGGCAGGAATTTTTAGGAGACTATTCTAAGAAAAAAAGAGTTGGCAGGTATCATTATCCTCACTTGTCCCCTAGCCTAGACACACTGACCAATATTTTCCACCTACCTTGCTAACAGTACCCCTGGCCTAGTGTGCTGCACCACACCTGCCCCCTTCAATATGTCCTTGGCCGGAGCCCATCCAAATTGGTGCCACAAGCCTGGTGGTGTGCAAGCAGCCCTGACAGGAGGCAGTGCTACATCAGAGTGACTCCTTCCCTGGGGAGAAGGGAGGATAATGACACACACCAGTCTACTGTGGCTCCAGCGCTGGGCTGGGAGCAGACATCAGATCTGACTGTGGGCCCTGCTCTCCAACAAAAGCTTCTCAGGAGACAACACAGAGAAAATGCCCTGCAGTTTGGTGCTACTGCATCTCTGGCAAATCTTTGGTCTGACCCAACTCAAGCCCAAGTCTGGCCCACTGATAACACAGGGACCAAACCCTGCCACAAAACAATGAGAGCTATCAGAAATGACTGCACTGAAGGCAAAAGCAGCCCAATCACAACAGTGGGGTACACACAACACACATAGCAGATACCCCAAAGCATCAGGTTCTGGTAAACAGGGGATTTTGCACTGCAGGGCGCAATTGGATCTCTTCTTCATCAGGCCACTATTTTCAAGAGCAGAAGATGTAGGGGACTTTCCTAGTACATAGAAACACACACAGGGAGTTAGACAAAAATGAGGAGACAGAAGACTATGTCCCAAATGAAAGAACTGAACAAAATCACAGCAAGGGAGCAAATCCAAATGGAGAGAAGTAATATACCTGATAGAGAATTTAAAGTAATGGTCATAAAGATACTAGACTTGAAAAAAGAGTGGAGGACCTCAGTGAGACACTCAACAAAGAGAAAACAAAAAAAGAGCCACTTGGATGATGATGAACTCAATAACTGAAATTAAGCATTTCCTAGATGAAATAAATAGTAGACTAAAGGGAGCAGAAGAATAGTCAGTGACCCGGAGGACAGAGTAATGGAAAATAATCAAAGTGAACAAGAGAGAGAATAATAATAAAAAATAAACACTGACTTAAGGAATTCAGTAACATCATCAAGCATGATAGCATTCACATTATAGGAATCCCAGAAGAAGAGATAGGAAAGGGGACAGAAAATTTATCTGAAGAAATAATGGCTGAAAACTTCCTGAATCTGGGGAAGGAAACAGAAATCCAGATCCAGGAATCACAAAGATCCCCCAATAAAAATCTACCCAAGGAGGTTCACAGCAAGACACATAGAAATTAAAATGGTGCAAAGTAGTGATAAAAGGAATTTTAAAAGCAACAAGAGAATAGAAAGCAGTTATATAAAAGGGAAGCCCCATTAGTCTATCAGTGGAGTTTTCAGTAGACACTTTGCAGGCCAGAAGGGAATGGTATGATATATTCAAAGTTCTGAAAGAAAAAACAAACAAACAAACAAACAAACAGCAACCAAGAATACTCTACCCAGCAAGGCTATCATTCAGAATAGGAGAGATAAAGAGTTTTTTTCTCAGACAAACAAAAGTTAAAGGAATTCATCACCACTAAACTGGCCCTCCGAGAAATGTTAAAGGGGACTTTTTTTTTTTTTAGAAGAAAGAGCACATATGTGTGTGCACAAGCAGTGGGGAGGGGCAAAGGGAGAGGGAGAAGAATCCCAAGCAGGTTCCACACTCAGCACTGAGCCTGACTTGGGGTTCAATTCCACTACCCTGAGCTCACAACCTGAGCCTAAATCAGGAGTCAGTTAACCAACTGAGCCAAGGGCCCAATAGCCCCTAAAGGGACTTTTTGAAAGCAAAGGAAAGACCATAAGTAGAAGAAAAGTAGGAGGCACAAAAGCAATGAGTTAGCTATAGTATAAAAATCAGTCAAGAGATTCACAAAATAAAAGGATGTCAGGTATGATAGTATATATCTAAAACATGGGGGTGGGAAGG